GCAGCATACCGAATCCGAGATGGCGGCTGCACCTACCGACAGAGACTTTAATACGAGAGTCACTCATGATGCGGGCGCACGATGCAGACATGAGACCAGGGATGTATGGTCCATGCCCAAGGGGTCCAATGTCATCGTGCATGGACAAGGCTTTGCTCGTTACCCGCGCCGAATATTACCATGACTCCCATATAGCACATGCCCCCCAGCCCCCCCATGGTCCTCAGCCTCAGTATCACGGTGATTACCATGATGCTCCCTACCACAATTCTCGCGATGGATACAAACGGTTATGTCGAGACTTATTGGCACCCCCCAGCAGTGCAATTTTGGTCCACAAGGCAGATACCGCATGGGTATGGGCGTGAGTATCCTAATGAGTACCCCAAGGACCAGGAGGATTGAGGACGAGCTCCTTAGGCTCACAGGCCTCATTTTTTGCATTCGGTGACTCCCTTGGCCTCGTATATATTGAGTTGTTTCGTCATTTTGGTTGTCGTGCTTGCCGTCGAACGTTGACGTATCTACTGTGTCCTTTTGTATCTACCATAGTATCAGCCAATGCAATATTTTGTATGTGATCAGGCCTCGTTTGACTCCTCAAGACAATCACGATCACAGAGGATTGGGTGCAGAAATGGAATAAAACATTCAAACTGGAATATGGAAGTATGGAAGTATGGATAACATACAGATACGGAGAGGCTCCAGAACACATCTGCTATCACACTTGCCGACATCGTGGGGATATGGAGATGCTGACATTGGGAGGCAGGCAGTGGCATCAGGAGAGCTGCTATGTTGAGGCTCTCCAGGGAACATACCAGGAGGTTGCGCTTACCCTCTGTGACGAGGCTTTGGTTACATGCTCTCGAGGGATGGCCACACATCCTGGGAAAACTAGGGCGAAGCCTCCTGGAGGAGGGGTCTCTTAGACTATATATTTGCTACATAATAATAGAGTCTGACGGTACGTGGGAACATCTTGAAAGTGCTGTCAAGGGTTGATTACCCGAAAAGTTAAACTTTGATGGTGAACCCATTGACTTCCACACTAGCGCCGCATACACCTGAAAAGAAAATCAAATGAACATGAATTCAAGAAAGGAAAGGAAAGAAATACCGCAGTCACCACAAGAGCTACCAAAGGGATGGGTACCTTGGACGCTTGGCATTGTTCTCCGCGAGGTCGGCAAAATGCTTTGCAAAACGGACACCGATGGACTGAGAGCCATTAAAAACATGGCCGAAAATCAGGGCAATTAAGATTTCACCCTGATAGGGCTTGTTTCATATGTGTGAAGGGATATTATGGGCTGCAAAAACGTGAAGGTGAGTAATTTGACACCAATGAGCAGTAAGTATAGTATAAACTTGCGTCAAACTTCATTGCATAGATATATGCATGCTTTACCATAAGATTTTTCGCTTTTTCTACGTCTATATGCCCCAGATGAAAGTAGCCAGAGACCTTTGTGCACGCATCATCTTTCAGTTCTCGCCGGAGGATTGGTATACGAGCATCTACCTGTTGTCACAGTCAATATATGTGTATATACTCGCAGAAAAAAACATACCAGACTAGCCAGTTGTGAGATGTAGTCCTCATCCATGCGATGATGTTTCTCAATTTCGCACAGATTGTGCTGCGCTGCAACAGTCAACAATGACTAGTATGAAAGCTGGTTTTGTCAACTAATTCAGGGAACCCATCAACGAAGGCAAGTTGACACTTTGCCTCCATAATTGCCCCTTTAACAACTCTCTGTGTCTCTAGGTTTCTGAGCCAGTAGCTTTATGTTTCCACCCTCAGCGACCACGATGTGAGCCAAAGCTGTACTTGTAGAGCGACTCTTCGACTTGGAACTTCCCTGGACAGATAGTGACTTTGGTGATGCGGGTTTTGACTCGTGTTCACTGGCGTCGGACGTTTCACAAGACTCTGAGACGCTACTCTGGCCCAGTTGGGGTCCAATCAGTATTAAGTTAGTTGTAACTGATGTCAAAGCCAGTTCTTTACTATTACTACCTCCGTCGTTTGTTTGCGGTAGCTGCGTGCTAGGGGGAAGAGTGGGAAGTGGCTCTCGAGTGCTCCTCTGGATACGAGTGGAAAGTCGTCCCAAGGGGATTGCTACTGAGAAAGATTCCTCTAGTGAAAGGTGAGGGGGATCTATAACCAGCGGTTCGGTCTCGAAGCCTGAATGGGACTCTGAGGCAAATAATGCACCCAAAAGCGAGTGCACTAGCTAAAAGCGCCTAAACGCGCTAATAAGGCGGAAAGTGCGGAAAAGTGCGCTTCAATGTCAAAAGCGCACTTCGTGCGATCACAATGGAGTGCTTCAAAGTAGAGATGACAATCAAATGGGGGGAATCAGGACTTTGATAGATGTAGAAATAGACACTTAAAGGTGTCAAAAGCGCCAATAGGAAGGAAAACCGGTGTATTCAGATAGAAACTCAAGCTATACACTTTGATGGTAGTGGAGCGGAAGTAAAGTGACAGGAAAACAAACATGGTGACGTGTAGGTATGCTAAGCGAGTTCCCACGGCTCGGAGCCGAATAGGAAGTACTAGGTAAATGTGAGGTAAGTCAGGGTCCATAACGAGATATGATGATAAGTACTAGTGCCTGCGTGATGGAATATGAGTTCTGAAGAAGGAAAACGCACCAATGGACCTTGGAGGACTAGGACGGGACATGCGGAGGACAGGCGACGGATACTAAGGAATGCGACGAAGTGCACCGTAACGCGCTCGAACCGCACTTGAACCGCTGGTACACCCAAGCGTGCGTTGCGTGGAAGTCGTATGAGAAGCGTGTTGAGAAATGTGAATCTCTACAACGTGCCAACTGTTGGTGATGGTACGGACTTGGAGCAAATGGGACCTCATTATCCATCAGCTTGCAATCGTTTCTGGCATCTCGTCCTCTCCTTCATCAATGTCTGAACCGCTGTAGAGACTCGCGTTTCTGCAGGCACATATGGGCACATTGCTGCACCTTTTCACAACTCATGACAATTGGCCTTCAATGCACGACTCGCAACCATCAGCTATATTCGACTTCTATCATGTCCCTAGTCGTTTTACACATAATGCGTAGCTTTCCCGCGAAACGCCGCCATAGGCGCGGTACTTTCCCGCACAACGCGCAGCATTTACACACACCTTGCGGCGCTTTCTCGCGCTTAAGCGCCCTGCAAGCGCCCTGCATTGCCCTCATCGCCTATCATCCAGGAACATCCCTCTATGTCCACCCACCTCATTGGTACGTCATATCCCTTGCCTCATGGTTTGTAACAAGCATTGCAGCGCTATTACATGTCATTACGTATTCATAGCGCTTATTGCTCCTATCCCTTCCACTTCCGATGTGATTTCCATAGTATAAAGTTTGCTGACTTACTACTTCATCATTATTACTCCCCTTTGCTGTACTTCCCTCGCTATTGGGTTTTACTTTAAAGTAGTAGTCACCACTTGGCGCACTTTGTGTTTCCAATGGTTATTGTTATCCGCCTATACTAGACCTTTATCCGCGCTTGTTATAACACTCGCTCTGCGTTTGCACTCACTTTGCACATCCCGCTTCCTTATCCGTTTCCTTATCCGGTATGTTCCGCACAATGCACACCTTAGCGCTCACGTTCCCACGCTCGCGCTTACCTTAGTGCGCTCTCTCGCGCTTCGCGCTCACTTCGCTTTTCTTCTTGTGCTTTCACGCATCCATCGCACTTCAAGGGTCTTTCTTTCATCTGGTTCTGTGTTCAGTAGTAGTCCCCTTTAGGGTTGAATGTTTTTGCATTCTGCGAGTATAGCAGCTAGGCAGAGCCAAGACTCACTTATACTGGTTGAGCATTTTTAGATATTTCATATCAGCCCAGCCAGGTTGAGATCGCCTCACCGCCCTCCATGTCATGTGCGATTGCATCAGAGTTGATCTCATCCGCAGAATCCTTGCCATCACTGTCACGGTGATGAGCCTCTGAGTCTCTGGCACCTCGCTGTGCCAGCTGCACTAGTACATTAAGGCAGGTCACAGTGAGTCATGTTTTCATTCTGCTTGTGATACACTAACCTTTCTTTCGAATGAAGGTATCTTTGAGTTTGTCACTGCGCTCTAGGTCCTCTTCGTCCGAGTCATGTGGGGTATGTCACCGCTCTAGTTAGTTCTGTGTTAGTGATAATTCCCAAGTCAAGATGATTAATAAATTTTACTACTAGATGATTTGCCTTTGGACATTGTGGCAGTTGGTCTTGTTTTCTGCGTGGGATGACCTGTTGTTTTTTTCGCAGCCTTCAAGTTAGCCATTGGAGGACAATCCTTTGGCGTCATGTCCTTTGGCGTCTTTTTCACAGTGGGAGCTTTGCTTCTGCCTCCTTTAACCTGCCAGTGATTCCAGACTCGTAAAAGGTGAGTATGCATGTCAATGATTAGAGGCAGATGTTCATGCGCTCACCAGCATTTTCCAAGGCTTTTTTTCTTTGCATCCCGTGGAACTGTCGACATAATCATAAGAACTCCCTTCAAAAAGTCATGAAGACTTACTGCGGGTGCTACTAGGTGCAGACATAGCTTCAAGATGCACTGACTTGGACTGATACTATTATTATGGTTAACGACAGTGATATTGATGAAGAGTCAGAAAATGCAAAGGAATGTGGGTGGGATTCTGAAGTAAGTCAACATGAACACCTCATCTTAGAAATAGCCTGCTAAATTTAAGTTATGTCTACTCAGAGACCCAGCATATGAGATCAGATTCAATAAGCAGGTGTTCGGGCTCAATAGAAAGACCTTTGAGGCATTTCGGACGTAATATCAAGACCTCTGAAGTGTTTTGGGCTCAATATCAGTACCTCTGAGGTGTTTCAGGCGCAATATCAGGACCTCTGAGGTGTTTCGGGCTCAATAACATAAGTAGAGGGTCATCTTTACATATCTGAATAATTGCGTCACTTTACAGAAATGAATAAGTGATGACCTGACATTGCAAGTCATTTGGTTTTATGTCAGATACAATGAGGGATTATTTAAACCTTGTAAAGGTATGTCTGTCTAGGTATGAGTTGAGCCAAAAAGTGTCGCAGTCCTCTAAAACAGTATTGCTTGTCCACTCGCGTGGAGCAATGACACCAAATCTTGAGATAAGATGAGTGCTGCTCACGATATCAGCCACAGACACAATGCTGGCCACCTGCTCTCCGCCATGTTGTGCTCGAGAGAGCTTATAGAGGTCGGAGCCCCTTCAGTGACAAATCCTGTATTATACGGGTCACCCGACCTACATAATATCCCGTGTAATACGGGCCAGTGGATTATGGGCCGATGTTATGTATATTCCCGATGTTGACAGGTGGGCCGGGAGGCATATTATTTCCGATGGAGACGGGTGGGCCCATCTATGCTGATGTTATATATATCATCGACGATAGCGGATGGGCCGGGAGAAATATTATTATGGAGATGGGTGGGCCCATGTGGGTAATATGTAGAGTAGGATTGACATATATTATAGACCTGAGGAGAGATGTATAGCAAATAGTATTATATAGACATGTGGGCCGACGTATTAGTATTATTTTGTAGACGGATGGGCCGAGGGAGTGGTGAAATATTTATTAGATAGACGGGTGGGCCGACGTGGGGTAATATCAGATAGACGGGTGGGCCGAGGGTGAGGGGAATTATCTATTACATAGACGGGTGGGCCGATGTGGGGTAATATTAGATAGACAGGTGGGCTGAGGGTGAGGTGAGTTATTTATTAGATAGACGGGTGGGCCGACGTGGGGTAATAATAGATAGACGGGTGGGCCAAGGGTGAGGGGAATTATTTATTACATAGACGGGTTGGCTGACATGGGGTAATATCAGATAGACGGGTGGGCCGAGGGTGAGGGGAATTATTTATTACATAGACGGGTGGGCCGACGTGGGGTCATATTAGATAGACGGGTGGGCTGACGTGGGGAATTCTACATAGATGGGTGGGCCGACGTCAGGTAATATTAGATAGACGGGTGGGCCCAGATACATATCATATAGACAGATAGGCCTAGGTATTGTACATTTTTACGAGTTTCAAGTCTCGAGTGAAGAAAATTCAAATTTAAGATGATATACATTTTTGTTGTCTTGAAATACTGAGACCCGAGACCCGAGATTCGGCACTCGGTAGTCGGTGAAATGAGTACAGAAATACATAAGATAATACACATTGTTCTCAGAAATCACAAGTTTCAAATGTCGATTTGTAAATCACGAGTCACAAGTCTCGAGACTCGAATCACCAAGTACCGAGTACCGAGAACCGAGTACCGACACCCAACACCCAGAATTCAGCACTCGGCACGCGAGACAAAAGATTGGAAACAAAACTCAAAATTCGAAACTCGAAAGTACTGACTACCGAATACCAAGTACCGAGTACTGAATCTCGGGTCTTGGTACTCGGTATTCGGTACTCAACACGATGCTCGAAACTCGTAAAACTGTTTCAAATCACCGAGTACTGACTACCGAGTGCCGAGACCCGAGTACTGAATACCGAGTACCGAGTACCGAGATTCAGTACTCGGTACTCGGTATTCAGTACTCGGTGATTTGAA